CCACTAATCGCTGCTCTCACAAAGGCTTTCTCTTTCGGCTGGAGCCTACTAGACATATTTCCTAGAACTCGGAGAAGCAGGAGCTATTCACTCTCTCCTCAGCAGAAGCAAAATACATTGCCGCAACCTCAGCCGCAACCTTCAAGAACTCATGCAAGAGGCAAAATCAGCACTTCGCTAACCTTTTAAGATATACTGTGACAACCAGTGGGCGATCAAAATCGCCAACAAGCCTGGGTTCGTGAATCGCACAAAAACACAACGCACTGCGAAAATTCTTCGTCAACGACGAAATCGACTCAGGCAAGGTGGACCTGAGAAACTGCCCCACTGGTGACAAGGCAGCTGAATTCCTCACCAAGAAGATACCCCGACAATAGTACCAACACTCTATCGAGCTTTGCGGAGTCACCGAGCGTGCCAAGCTTGAGTCCCTTCAGGATTGAAGGGGTTTGTTACGATAAGGAACTGTTTCATACATTCCTGAAAGTAAACACTCGAGCTGTAACACGTGATAGCATGCTATAATTCCTATTGAGTATGCGTTACATCAAATCACGAAGGGCAACCGTTTACCGACAACCCAACAAGAGGACAGCCGCAATGACAAGAATAAATTGGCCAACAAGATGTGCAAAGGTAGACCCCACTTAGATTGAAATTTTGCCGCCCGGTGCACAAATCACTGCATGAAACAATGCAAGATTTTTTTTTTAAGATTCGGGTACTCTTTTTGGTTTTGTCTGGATGGACAGCCAGATACAGAAAAAAATTCAAATAAAATGTGAAAACACACTCTTTTAGGGTGGCCAGGATCTCGAGTTGGTGGAACCACAAGTATAATCATAATAAGGAATACACACATACTTACAATCTAGGAAGTACCTATTCGGGATGTACCAGTTTTTAGTGCATCGCGACTATTCGAGTGACATGACTAGTGACTATTTGTGTGACTGAGAGTGGCGTAACCCTTCGGGTGACTATACGCGTGAACCTAATGTTCACGCGTTGACTCGCTACTGCTGACGTCATCACGCGCGTCCTTCCATATGAGGTATTGCCCTACTAGTACAGTCTAAGTATAATATTAGGAATGCATAAGTGGTAACTCTACTGAGTATCCTTTAATTCAACACTCCCCTTCTTTCCTGAGTGTGTCTCTGGTTAAGTGTCGACGCGTTTGCAGATTCCAACCAGGTTGGAGCAGTACTGAAATTTGCTGCGTGGGAGTTTCTTTGTCAAAAAGCTGCCATTTCTTCTATAGGGCAGTATTTCAGGATGACCTTCCCTTTGTCCATTTTGTCCTTGACGAAGAAGTAACGGAGGGCGATGTGCTTTGTACCGTTGACGAAGGTTGGCTTCTTTGCAATCTTGATTGCGCTATGGTTGTCGCAGAGTAACTTGAAGTTACGGGTCGTTGCAATTTTCACCTCTTGAAGTAACTCTTGAAGATAGTTTGAAAAGGAACCCTGTACGTGAACGCCTGTTGTCGGGGTCAACAGCGTGGTTTGCATCAATGTATCCAGTCAGTCAAAAAATTGCTGCACTGTTTGTCGTGTAGCTGAGTCTGATTGTAGGAGTAGAAGTGAAATATTGGAGCCTCAACGAAGATCGGCCATATTCTCCCCTTCAGGTTGACACAGGTACTGTGCGAGCTGACTCATGATGTAGGTAAGATATGGGCGGCATGTAACAGCTGCAAATACAACCGTGCTGGTGGTAAAGCTGATGCCCGGAGGAAGTAAGTGGGGTAGTATTGGGTGTGTGATCGGCTGGAATATGGCGAAATGGAGTAGTAAGGCTGATGGGAGTGATAGCGATTTTTTTCACAAGTGTTTCTGTGTACTTGCTTGCTGAAAGGTAGATGGCATCGAGGCCGCAGTCGACGTTTAACCTTAGAAATTGGGCGACGTTGGAGAAAATAGTCACTTCAAGAATAGTTAGGATTCTTTCCTCCATGCGCGCCAGAAAACAGTTGCACGAGCAGATGTACAGTAAGTCGTCCACGTAGGTGACTAGAAGAATGTAGTGCCCTCGAAATTTGAGTCTGTACATTCCAGGATCGTGGGGCAGCTGCACGAAGTCGAGTGAAATCAGAACCTTTTGAAGGTGTTGTTGCCACAGGCAAGGAGCCTGTTTGATGCCATAGAGTGATTTAAGTTACTCGCAGATGTGGAGTCCGTCGACGTAAGTGTGAGGGAGTTTGGCAAAAATATCTGCATCAACGTCTGCGTATAATTACACCTTTTTTTTTAATGTCCATTTGGCGAAGTGGCTGATGGCGGCTGGCAGTAATGGTGAGAAGAATTTGAACGGAGGAATGGCGGCTGTTCGGGGCAAAATTCTGGTCGTAATCGATGCCACTGTTTTGTTCAAAACCTTGAATGACCCACCTCCGCTTGAACCTGTCTGGTTCGCCTGCTGCGTTTGTCTTCATGCGAAAGACCCACTTGCTCGAAAGAAAATTCTTGTCGCGTGCTGCTTCGCGTAGAACGAGTTTCCACATTTTCTGCTTCTCGAGAGCTGCGACCTTTGCATCCATAGCTGCTCGTCACTTATCAGCATCAGAGCCGGAGAGGGCCTGCTTGACTGTTTTCGGTTCGATCCCAACCGTTGGTTGCTGAAATGCGTTTTCGGCTGCATCTGCTTTGTCTTAAGAGGTGGCAAAACTCCGTTCGGAATTGTAGCGATCAAGATCCCGCTGCTGGCATTCCTTGTCGCGTTCGAAGTCATCGAGAAAAAGTTTCTCGTAGAAGATGTAGTCTCGATCATACAAAACCTTTTGGGCTTCCAAGAGTAGGAATGCTTGGGTACACCAAGGTGTATTCCCCATCGAGCCCGTTCAGTAAATCTGCCCACAGTTGCGCTTGGAGATCTGTATTGAACCATGCAGCCCCAAACTTGTAATAGTCGAGTGTCGGTGGGGTGTTTTGTCCACATAACGTGTGGAGAGCTGAATTAAGGAAGAGCTGTTAAATACAGGCAGTTATGTAGTCTGACAGCTTGCGACTTCGCAAGCGGCCAAAAGTCTGTTGTCAAGATGAACTATTGCAGCAGCACACACATCTTCTCTTGCAGCATTCTGTTCGTCCTCTCTGCTACTCCATTCTGGTGATGAGCATAAGGCACAGTCTTGCGTCTGAGAATCCCTTCTTGTGCCAAGAATTCATTGAACTGCTCGCTAGTGTACTCGCCCGCGTTGTCTGTCTGGATCTCTTTCAGCTTGGTGCCGCTCTGCCGCTCCGAGATTTCCAGCCATAGCTTGAAGGCGTCGAGATCTTCAAACTTGCGAGACATATTCTTGTGGCAGACATATCGAGTAGCACCATCGATGAAGGTAATGATACAGCGGTAGTCATTGCCGCTGATATCCTCTGCGTCGTGTGGCATGACGAGTATGTCGCTGAAGACGACGTCCATAGGTGAGTACTTAGTAGCACTCGGAAAGTGTGACGGGAACAGAGCGTGACTCACGTGAGCTCCATGGCAGATGGTGCAGGGTGATTGGCGGCTGCTAGGTCGAAGCTCCTGGCTGTTGGTTAAAAGGAGAGTGCCCTTGTCAAAAACCGAGGCTTTAATTGAGTTGTTAAGAGCTTCTTGCAAGGGGTGACCTAACCGCTTGTGCCATATCTCTGCTATAGTCATGTGTCCCTTTGAACACAGGTACAAATCGGAGTGAAGGAAGAATCGGCGAAGGATGAATCATTGGCACTGGGTTAACGCAGCGGACGGTGCCGAAAGGCTGGATGTACCCGACTTCTTCTGCAGTTTCAGCCCAAGTATGTCGAGGTATCGGCAATGCGCCCAAGCATCAGGTACGATTAACTCATTCTTGCCCCATGTGCGTTCAACCTCCATAGGTTCTTCGGCTGTAGCAAATGTTGGTTCTTGGTTTTCGTAACCCCAACTTCCATCTCCGTATGCCCAAGTAGCTTGACCTATTTCTGCTTGCTACTTTTGTTATTTTTGTTGTGGATACGTCGATGGAGTTGGTGCGAGAAGGCTGAGGCGTGACGCCGAAGGCATTTACACCACGATAATCTTGGTGTTGAAGATCCGTCGCCCAATGATGATGCGAAGGAGCAAGTGATACGTTGTTTTCACTGTCACCAGATGCCTTTATAGTTGAGAAGCGTAGAACTAAAATGCCGTCTTTGATTTCTGCGATTCCGACTGAATTGCTTCTGTCTGCCTTCTTGTCTCCTAGGTACAACTCCGTGAGCATCGTATTGGTGGTGATGACAAAACAGATGCCGCTTTCCATCAGCTTCGCTTATGATAAAAGGTTGAAGCCGAGTCCCGTGGCGACGAGAACCTTGTTAAGGTGAAGAGAAACTTCTGTGTCGTCAGACTCTAGTATCACATCTCCCATTCTGATGGCTTCAATAACTTGATTGTTGGGCACGGTAATATTGTATTTTTCTCCTTTTGGCAGATCTCGCCAGTTGAGGAGATAACGACGTGAAGATGCCATGTGGTGACTGTGTTGTATGATGTCATCATATGCTATCACATTCTGTCTGCCTCCCATCCCATATTTTTTCAACTTGCATGTGTGGTTTGAACGTGTGCAAGAATTTGTGTGTGATGTGTTCTGGAGTTTGGGAATGTGTTTTGTGTTATTTTTGTTTGAGCAGGTTTTTTGTGATGATAGATCTTGAGAAGATCTTTCCGACGCAACGAGAATCCCTTCAATCGGAGCAAGAACGCGAAAGCTATGAAGATTCAAAGTTCATGAGCTTGCGTTACAATTGCGGCGGTTACAAAGTAAAGTTGTGGGGTGACTCTATATGGAGTTGGGACCTTTGGGGGTTGGGGAAATTTGTCACTCACTGTAACAGCTGCAAATTGGTTGGGAACAACCAAGCTAGGTTGGCAAGGGTGGCCAACTTGGATGGATTGGTTGGGAAGGGACAAATGTCAAAGTTGGGGTTCCTATAGGGAGGGAATCTTTGTGCTTATGGGGTTTCCTTGGTTGGGGACTCTCTTGGGACCTTCCCTCTCATCCCTCTCTTCTATCCCAACCTTTCTCTTGCTCCTCTAATTCCTTGTGAGATTCTTGAACTTTGATTGAACCTTTTGAGATTGAGTTAAGTTCTCCTCCTACAGCTTACCCTCTAATGCGTCGAAAGCCATAGCGTCGCGAATACTTCATCAATCAACGTGATTCAAATTGGGAACGGTAGCTGAGATTAAGAGCTACAACATATCCAAGTTTCGCGACATTCCAACGGCTAGTTTTTTGTCGACGTCGTTTCTTGTGAAGACGACTTTTCTGTCCAGAATTTCGGATTTATATTTTGAGTAATTCTAGCTCCTAAGTTCACCTAGACTCCGTCCTTAATCCTAACAAGTGGTATCAGAGCGATATTAAGGACATTGAGAGGAGTCTACAGAAGTTTGAAGACCCTTCTAGACCCACCATGGCCTGTGGGTGTGCCTAAGTGGTGTTCTAAAGGTTGGATGTGTCTTCCGCTAAGGGGAAACTCTGCCGAAATTTCGTGGACGCCGACACTTGTGAAAATATCGAGGGAGCTGAGTGTGGACAGCAAAGGGGAGCTGAAATTCGTCATTTCTCAAGGAGAAGATGAATGAGAGAGGAGGAGATGCTAATGGAAGAGGAGCTGTAGCTGAGAAGGCAAGTGAGCCGCCGCCATCAAAAGTTGAAGCTTTGGATGGCTCCAACTATGAGGAATGGAGCGGACGGATGAGGAGTGCCTTCAAACGCTACAAGCTCCTGAAGATTGCTCTTGGGGAAGAGAAGATGCCGGAAGAAGGCGAAGCACGTGAACGGTGGATTGAGAAAAGCGCAGTGCTTTTCGACCTCATCCTTCAATCGGTCAACAAGGAGATGTTCGAGCACATCAAGGATCTTGTGGAAGCGGATGATTCCGGTCCAAGGGCGTGGAAACTACTACGTGATGTGATTCAGCCCAACACTCTCCCAATGGTGATCGTGCTCGAGAAGGAACTTGCTGCCATCTCCATGCGACCAGGGGATGATGTGAAGCCGGTCCTTGACAAGATCAAGGACACCTATGCAAGGATGGCAGCAGCGGGCAGCAGTGTATCTCAGCTGCAGCACTGCACCAAGATCATCTCGGTGTTGGACAACTCTTGGGACAACCTCATCCCCACCCTCAACTCTCAGCAAGATCAATGGACACCTGAGTGGCTAAGGCAGCAGATTCTGCAGGAGGACTTCCGCAGACGCCATGTGGGAGGCGGTGCTGCCACTAAGACTGCTGAGGGGTATGGAGCTGCAGGGCGCGGCAGAGGAAGAGGGGGTTGGAGAGGCCGAGGCCGTGGGAGAAGCTTTGGCAGAGGTAGAGGCCGAGGTGACTATAATGAGGGGCATGGGAGCTCCAGTGGCAGGGGGAGTACCAAAATGGAGGGCACCTGCTGGTACTGCAAGAAGGTCGGGCATCCTTGGTTCAAGTGCTTCAGCAGGCCGGAGGGATGGTCACCTCCAGGCATGAAGCCGCCAAGTGGTGAACGCGCACAAGGTGGCGCTGTGCAAGGCTCAGGTGCACAAGGTGAAGGTGCACAAGGTAACGCCTATCCTGGGATGTATCTCATGGTTGAGGATGTGCATGGGCATGAGGGTGATGTGGGATATGTCGGAAAGGTTGTGATGCACCCTCTCACGCACTAGGTGATTGATTCGGGTTGCACCAGTCACATGACTCCACGGGCAGATTTGCTTGATGAGGTAAAACCCCCTGGGAAGATTAAGTATGTAGCAGCAGCGTCAGGTGCTTTGCTCCCCGTGATTGGTGTTGGGAATGCCAAGGTTAAGGGAGCTAATGGGGAGCTTGTGGGGCTTGGGAATGTTCTGCTGGTTAAAGGCTTGTCTGCTAACCTTCTCTCTGTGCGACGACTGCAGAAGAGCAAGGCCGAAGTGACCTTTGGACCAACCAGCTGCCGTGCTAAGCTTGGAAGAAGGTACTGTGGAGTCTGGAAGAGGAGACCAGCTGCATGAAGGACTTGTGGCAGCTGCCCATCATCCCTTGGAATGGGAAGACTCCAACAGTAGCAGCGGCAAAGGCAACAGCAGGAGGAGATGCAACTGCACCAACTGATGGGGTCCTGGAAGCATTCAAGAAAGAGCAGCAGACACATGGTGAGGTGCTTGCTAGTGTGGATGCGAGTGCGGCATGGGCTAAGGCTTCATCAAGGAGTGGAGAGGCCGATTGGGAGACATGGCATGAGAGGCTGTGTCATGTGAACTTCCCTATGCTGCAAAAGTTGGTGAAGGATGGGAGCCTGAAAGGATTGGAGGTGAAAGGGGGAGTGAAGGAGATTGGGAGCTGCCCTACATGCTTGGAGACCAAGTTCTCCAAGTTCCCCTTCAACAGCACTACAGGACCAGCCAAGACCCCACTCGCACTTGTGCACATGGATGTGGTGGGGCCCACAAGAGCCCTTTCCCTCTCAGGCAGCCGCTATTTCTTGACAATTGTGGATGACCACACTCGGGTAGTGTGGGTTTACCCTTTGAAGAGCAAGGGGGAGGTGGCAGCGGCTGTCCTTAAGGAGTGGATGCCTAGAGCTCAGAGGGAATGCGGACACAAGGTGAAGGTGATCCACAATGACAATGGTGGGGAGTTCATTGGAGCTGATTTTGAGGGGGAGTTGAAGAGGAAGGGGATCCAGCATCAACTGACAGTGCCCTACAACCCGCAGCAGAATGGCGTGGCTAAGAGGTTCAACAGGACCCTGCAGGAGGGGGCACGCACTCTCCTTGGGCGCGCGGGGCTGCCTGATCCGTTTTGGGTGTCTGCACTGAGGCAGGTCGCCCTTGTGAAGAATAGGGCGCTGGCTACAGTTGGGGAGAAGGAGTGGATCCCATATACCAAGTGGTATGGGAGTGCTCTAGCTGTGAACATGCTGAGGGCATTTGGGTGCATGGTGGTGTTTCATGTGCCTAAGGAGAAAAGGGGGAAGTTGGAGGCTTCTGGAAGATGGGGTGTGCACTTGGGGATTGCAAAGGATCACAAGGGATGGCTGCTATGGGACTTGACCACCCAGAAGCTGACAGTGTCAAGGGATGTGAAGTTTCTTGAGTCCCTGTACTACAAGGAATGGAAGCAGCAGCAACAGAAGCTTCCATCTACACCACTCATTGTGGAGGCAGATGAGGTGCAGCGGCCTCCAAGACAGGTGGAGGTTGCAGTGTCTGAAGAGGAGATGTCTGGGGTGACTGAGGAAGGGGGAGCAGCTGAAGTGGAGCAGCAGCAGCAGCAGCATGAATCTCCACCTCGAGTTCCACACCCGCCTGAGCGACCTAGGAGGGATGTGCGCCCTCCGGTGAGGCTGACCTATGGGGGAAGAAGCAAGCCGAATGTGGTGCAGGCTGGGAGTGTGGTTGAGCAGATTGAGGAAGATGAGATCGCTCACTGCTACTGGGCACCAATCCTCGAGCCCAAGACTCGAGAAGAGGCCTTGAATGGACCAAATGGGAAGAAGTGGAAGGCGAGTGAGGATGAGGAGTTCGGGTCCCTGATTGAGAACGAGACATGGGACCTGTGTGACTTGCCTCCTCGGAAGAAGGCAATCACTTCCAAGATGATCTACAGGCACAAGTATGGACCTGAAGGGGAGCTGACCCGCTACAAGTCTAGGCTTGTGGCACGGGGGTTTCAGCAGACAAAGGGGAAGGACTATGATGAGGTGTTTGCTCCTGTGGGGAAAGGAACAACACTGAGGGTGCTGTTGGCGATAGCTGCACTCCTGGGATGGAAGATACGGCAGATGGACATTGTGACTGCCTTTCTGAATGGGATCATTCTGGAGGAGGTGTACATGAAGCAGCCAGAGGGGCTGGATGATGGGAGCGGCAGGGTCTGCAGGCTGAAGAAGGCCATCTATGGCCTTAAGCAGGCGCCTCGTGCATGGTATCACAAGTTGGAGGAGGCGCTGTTGGCTGGGAGTTTCAAGAAGAGTGAGTGTGACCCCAGCCTGTTCCTGCTGCAGGAGAAGGATGAAATCCTCATGCTCTTGGTGTACGTGGATGATATCCTTCTCTTTTCTGCATCAACTGCTTTGCTGGACAGCGCAGAGCAGATGCTGGAGATGCAGTTCAAGTGTTCCAAGATGGGTGAGGTGAAGTACTACTTGGGGATGCATGTGGAGAGAGATGTGGAGAAGGGTGTGCTGAGGTTGCAGCAGAGGAAGTACTGTGAGGGGCTGGCTGAGAAGTATGGGCTGCAAGATGGGGGAAAGCCAGCAACACCACTACCTTCGGGGTTCACTGTGGAGCCATGTGCTGATGAGGAGGTAGTGGGTGATAGTGACAGGAAGCTGTTTCATTCGATGGTTGGGTCGTTGAACTATGCTGCAAATCATACACGGCCTGACATTGCATTTGCTACATCACGGTTGGCTAGTGTGGTCTCACGCCCTAGTCATGAGCAGCTGGAAGCGGCCAAGAGGTTGGTCCGCTATGTGAGCGCTACCGCATCAGTGGGATTGGAGTATAGTGGAGTGAGGCAGCGGTTGCAGAGAGGTGCTGCAGATGTGAAGAGTGGAGAGATGCTCTTGAGTTGCTATACTGACGCTAGCTTCAACTCAGTGAAAGCGGATGGCACCAGCATTAGGGGTTATGTGTGCTTGCTAGGAGGTGGTGCTGTGAGCTGGCGCAGCAAGAAGCAGAATGAGGTGGGATTGTCCTCATGTGAGACTGAGTACATGGCCTTACACCATGGGGCCAAGGAAGTGGTATGGCTGAGGCGCTTGTTAGAGGAGTTGGGAGTTGGTCAGGAGGAGCCGACAGTTGTGTTCTGTGACAATGAGTCTGCTGTGAAGCTCGCCAAGAATGCTTGTCTGCATGGGCTGACAAAACACATAAGGCCTAAGTGGCACTGGGTGAGGAGACTCCTTGATAAGGAGGTGCGGCTGGAGATAGTGAAGACCCATCAGCAGGCAGCAGATATTTTCACCAAGCGTCTGGCGGAGGCGGATCATTGGAAGGGCATGAAGCTTGCTGGGATGAGTGTGCATTGAGTATGCATGCTTGAGATGTTGGTATGGTGGATGATGGTTGGCAGCCAGAGGGGGAGATTGTTGTATGATGTCATCATATGCTATCACATTCTGTCTGCCTCCCATCCCATATTTTTTCAACTTGCATGTGTGGTTTGAACGTGTGCAAGAATTTGTGTGTGATGTGTTCTGGAGTTTGGGAATGTGTTTTGTGTTATTTTTGTTTGAGCAGGTTTTTTGTGATGATAGATCTTGAGAAGATCTTTCCGACGCAACGAGAATCCCTTCAATCGGAGCAAGAACGCGAAAGCTATGAAGATTCAAAGTTCATGAGCTTGCGTTACAATTGCGGCGGTTACAAAGTAAAGTTGTGGGGTGACTCTATATGGAGTTGGGACCTTTGGGGGTTGGGGAAATTTGTCACTCACTGTAACAGCTGCAAATTGGTTGGGAACAACCAAGCTAGGTTGGCAAGGGTGGCCAACTTGGATGGATTGGTTGGGAAGGGACAAATGTCAAAGTTGGGGTTCCTATAGGGAGGGAATCTTTGTGCTTATGGGGTTTCCTTGGTTGGGGACTCTCTTGGGACCTTCCCTCTCATCCCTCTCTTCTATCCCAACCTTTCTCTTGCTCCTCTAATTCCTTGTGAGATTCTTGAACTTTGATTGAACCTTTTGAGATTGAGTTAAGTTCTCCTCCTACAGCTTACCCCCTAATGCGTCGAAAGCCATAGCGTCGCGAATACTTCATCAATCAACGTGATTCAAATTGGGAACGGTAGCTGAGTTTAAGAGCTACAACATATCCAAGTTTCGCGACATTCCAACGGCTAGTTTTTTGTCGACGTCGTTTCTTGTGAAGACGACTTTTCTGTCCAGAATTTCGGATTTATATTTTGAGTAATTCTAGCTCCTAAGTTCACCTAGACTCCGTCCTTAATCCTAACAGACTGCAGCAGCTGTCAAGAAACCAAGTGTTAACATGCTCGGGATACGCACACTTGGTGATGCAAGCTAGGCCCCCAAATTGCAGCCTTTTTACGCAGATTCCGGCTTTTTTCATGATGGAAAAAGCCCTTTTTTCACGCCGGTACCTCTATCTCGCCATCAATCAAGCCAAGTTTAGTCAGTGTTGGCGCGGGCAATCGTGATGCTGCCACGAAACCTGCCCTGCTGTCACCACCACATACATAGATGGTTCAGCCGATTGGTACTTGACCAGATTCAAGCTGCTCCAGCCAACAGAAAGGAAGTTTGGTGCGTGAGGCAAGAATGGACGACGCACCGCAACCTCGCTGATGCGGACAGCGCAACTGTTGAACGTGATTTATGCATGCACGCAATGTCTCACTCGCTTCCCATCTGTCGCACGAAGCGCGCTCTTCTTGCACAATCCCCTTCCTCCTGATCCGTTTATTAGCCCTGTCAAAAACCCGACAACTCTTGCCTGCTAGGTACAGCAATACCCCCCTTTCCATACTAGCCCTCGTGGGCTATCTGTGCCATTTTGTTACTCACGTAGTCCCCACCCCACGATGGCCAAAGCCGACGATGACGAGCTAGAAGATGAGCTCGTAGATGAGCAGGAAGAAGAGTACTGGTGTAGCGAGAAAGCTCGATGCGCTCGCTCAGGCCTTGATTTTGTGCGACCGTCTGTGCCTGCCAAGAAAACCTCTTTAAGACCTGCAGAGGAAGATGTTGACCCAGCAGAAACTGCCGCATCAGTTCCCGACGCCATTGATGTTTCGACAAATGACCCTAGTCCGATGCCGTCTGTCAGTGCTCCTGACGCTGACGCTCTTACTGCAACACCTGCTAAGCGTCGGAAATGGAGGTCGTGCTGGTGATGCATTGGTTGCGATGCAGGCTTAAAGACTTTAAGGAATGCCAAAGGCCATGAGGACTTGTATACCGGTAGAGTACCCGGAAATCATAATATTGTGCCATCCTGAGTTTCGCGTTTCTTGCTCAGCACTGCCCCTTATCTAGCCTAGGGGGTGTGTCAACTTATACATATGTAGAAGTTATAGGCTAGATAGGTTTGTATTCATAGAGGGTACAACTCCAACCCTATATCCTCTCTTGTACTCACTTGTTCTAATCATTTTGCTACTCTGAGGCCTACTGCCTCCATGAGCCTTGATATCTCTAGTTATGCAAGAGCTGCTGTTGCCGCAGGGCCTTCAGCCCCTGAAGATGAATCTGATGGGTCTTTTGCCTTCCATGAGCGACCTCTTCAATAAGAGCAACAACAACCACAACAGCAACAACATCAAATGGCAAAAGTAAGACCATTTGCTGCACAAGTTGTCGTAAATCAGACAGATTTTCCAACTATTATCCAAGCTGAAGACATCAACTCATTTTGATGGCCGCGACTTCTATACTTGGGAATTCGAGTTCAAACTCTTTGCGCAGTCTTCTGGACTCTGGAGATATTTTGACGGTACGAACCGTTATCCAGATACAGGATCAGCCGAAGAACATGTGCGTTATTACAAGTATTTGCTTATGGCCTATACACTAGTGGTGCGGAATCTCTCACCTGAAGAGCAGTTGGGAGTTCGGTGCTTCAAGCCTTCGATTGCTGCAGCCTTCTACGCTTAGGATTACCTGTGAAGACTTTATCCAGCTCAAGATTCCTTCATACAGAGCAAGTTGTTAAGTCAACTTACCGCATTGCAAATGCTTCCGGTAGAAAAAGCCGGCAGCTACATCAACGGGTGCAAAAATCTTCGTGACGAGCTCTTCGTCACTATCCTTCTAGCTGGACTTGGACTTGGATGGAGGCAATGCAAGTCCCTTCTTTGTTCTTGAGGGAACATCTCATAAACTTCTCTTGGTGCTACTCTTATGGCAGAGCAGCAGGACTTGGACCTGTACAACGCGAAATGAGGCAAATCCAATAGTGGGTTAAAGCGAGGGTCTCAAGAAGCAAAAAACCAAACCCAAAGGTTTTGGTTTCAGGGGGTCTCGAAAATTGCGAGGTGTGGTAAGGGGTGCTGGTTGGGCGCTGTAACTGTTTCGCAAAGTTCGTCAACCCAAAAGCAAAACCTTTGGATTTGGTTTTCTGTTTCTTGAGACCCTCGCTTTAAGCTTCTATACAGTTCGACCAAGTCAAGGGGAGCAGACAAGAGGTGCATCAAATCAATGGGAGCAGACAAGAAAAGGAGGAAAGGGCTTCTGCGAGTTCTGCAAATATTGAAGAGTGTCTGAAACAGAAGAACAGGCATCGGGAGAAGTCAGGTATTGCCGCCCCTGTCAAGACTATCTCCCCGCCTTCAGCTTCTTCAACTCAACATGCAAAAGGCAAGGCAATCATTAATTGTTTGATTGGACTGTACTTGTTTAGTGGTATATGCTACTGGATCCGACGAGATAATGAAGATAACGATAGTGACATGGATGAAGGACTAGCCAACCTACCTCCACGTTTTCGTCCTCGTTCAGAAACTCCAGATCTAGGAGTCGTTAATGAAGAAAAACCAGAGCAGCCTAGCAGCTTTCCTCGAAGATTGAACGTGCAGCCATATGCCCGCATCAGGCCCCCAAATTGGTTTTGGGGGACACTGATTACTCAGCGTCCCCTCTCTTGTCTTGGCTTAGCCATCAGTGTAGCCACAAAAAAAAAGGCTGGAAAATCAGTGTGTACTGTAATTTTTTCGCTGTGTAATCAGTGTCCCCTTGGAAAAAAACGCTGAACCAGAGATATAATTAATAATGGGCAAACACACATCACATCTCCTCGTCCTCAGCCTCCTCAACCACAGTGGTCATCTCAGCTGCCACGTCGTCTTCATCAACTACCTTCTCCTCGCCTTTCCTACTACCCTCACCTCTGGCAGGTGGGGTATTGCTTAGGTGCCTCCTCTTCTTGTACCTCCTCCCAATCTGGTTCATACTCTAGCATCGGCATGCACATGAGGTCTGAGAGCCTGGTGTCCTTCAAGGCACCCCGCAGCTAGCTTTAATGACATTCTGGTAGGAGAACCCGCGTTTGCACACCACTGTGCTCAGTGGCAAGACACCCACTGCCACCCACAAGTTGACGAGATTGGGAAAGCTGTCCCTCCAGTCTTGGGTCTTGAGCATGGCGGTGAGGCCTGTGTGGAACTTCCTGTCCGCCCTCGGGAGCGCTGCCAAGACCGGAACGAAGTTGCGCAGCTCTTGCTGGGCCTTGCGCTTGTCTAGGCCTATACAAGAGAAGCACATAGAGGTGCAAAGTGCGGAACCGGGAAGGCATTAGGGGGGGGGGGAGACAAGGACTCTAAAAATCGAGAATCGAGAAAGACGAGAATTCGGGAAGATCAGGAACATGGAAGATAGGGAACCGAGAAAACAAGGAATCGAGAACACAGGGAATCTGTAATCGAGAACTCACCAGGTAGGATCTCATCCCTGTCGTCCGCGCGGTAGAGCGTCACCACCGATTTGAGCCACTCCATGCATTGTGTCTTCCGTGCCTGCTGATCCCAATTGGGAGGCCACATGTCGACACAGATGAGGCGCACCCCGACAGTTGCTGCAGGTCACCCAGCCGCTCGTCGATGTTGCGGACGAGCCCCTCCGCCAAGGCCATGCATGCGCCAACGCTGCCATCATGGTCGCATGGCCCGGGATAGTCTTCCAGTGGCTCCTCGTGCAGCTCGAACGTGAAGCGCGCAGGACGGCCGTCCGAGTCGATGCCCTCCACAGCAATGCTCCTTGACTTCCCGGGACCGTGCAGCACGAGGAAGCGTGTCAGTTGATCATTCGGGCCACCCCCGAAATCATCACCACAGTCGACAAAGCGGCTCTCCAGCAGCATCTTCGTGTGGACGATTTGCATGTGCACCGTGGTGTAGTCGAGCTGCCAGGCACGAGGGGGATTTGGGTGAACATGGAAACGGAGAAGGGGTTCGTGCCAGTGGAAGACGGAATGCAACGTACACGATTGTGTGGAACACTGTCGAACATAACAAAGGACAAGCATTACCTCTCGCTGCTGGAAGACTCTATTGAGGACATTAAGCTGCTCCAGCACATCGACGAGCAACATCAGCAAGAGCCAGAACCGGTAGCTTGTCATGAGGTGGTAGAGCCGGTCGTCATACTCCTAGAGCATGACGACAACAGCCGGCAGCACCTCGACCTGCCGGATGACCGCCTCACCACGACTGAGCCAGCAAATGTTGTGAATTCCTTGAAGCTCCAGGGTGGTTTGGGTGTAAACCTCCTGGAGATCAAGGAACCGCTGGTGCCAAGGCCCGCTGTGCCCAAGAAGCTCTGCCACCTCGCAGATCAAGTGGTCGACCATGGCAAAGGCAGGGGTGTCCTCTACCGCTACCTTCGTTGCTAAAGCCTCCTTGCACACAACAGGAGGACAAGCAAACACGGTAACGAAGTGCACGTACAATCTTGAGTACAGCAGACACAAAATGACAGATGCATGCATGCAAGCCAAGTATGCGTACCTGTGCGCGATGCAATGACAGAAGACTAGGTGCAGGATGCGAAGACGCAGTCGAGCCACCAGCCCGGCGCGGGACCCCATCATGACTACAGTGCCGTCCGTACTGATGCCCGACACACGGTCGAGATCCACTCCAATCGCCTGCAGATGAGACAACAACAGTGCAAGCAATGACGCGACATCGGCTTGAGCAACAGTCAAGAGTACGAGGTACTCCGTGACTAGCCGACCCTCCCAGATGAACGTCGCGAAGACTATCATATGCTTTCCGTGGCAACGATTGGTGCTCTCATCGAGGCTGAGCTCGATGAATTGACTGG